GTTAGTATGATTTGATTAATCATAAGTTAGAGGCGCAATAACATGCCAACACAGCTTTCAAATTCTAACGACTCGCCTAACTTTGCCACCCATATTTTCATACTCTATATAGTATATTTCTCTTTCAAACGCTGTGACTTAGCTGCATTTCTTCACACAGTAAAGTCTCATCTAGTATTTTGTATATATTAAAATTTAATCTTTCATCACGGTTTCTGGGTCAGATGATCTTATGAAAACTAATAATTTAAAAATTAGGAAAAGTTTAGTAATATTTGGACAGTGAATTTCCTGCCCAGAACCTCTTTCTCTCAGTCCGACAACACCAATTAAACTAATTTTCATGCTATAGTTATCGAATAATTAAAAATACAACAGACATTTTAATAACTTATTTTCAAACCTTTGAAACTGAGGAAAGGCCAGCATAGATTAAACTATGAACAAAATTATGTATTTTAATTCAAAATTTAGTTATGCCTACAAATTAAGTGACTGCGTAGGATTAAATAAACGATAGCTCACCTGGATAATTACATCCATGTGGTACTCTTGAGCAATCACATCACGGCATTCAAGAATTTGTTCAAGTAACAAGGGCAAAATATCCTAGAGTATAAAGATGCTTATGATAAAAAATATGTTTAAAGATCATTTAAAGTTGACAATTGTCGAATTCCATGATTATTGGATGCAATACTGATGGCATAAAGCCGAAATAGGCTTTCTTACATGTTTATAAGTATGTACGGATAGAGATTCGATTTGTGCTAATCGTGTAAGATTTGTGCCCACCAAAAGTCGCAACTCTCGACGCTCTTGTTCCCGACGTTCCCGCTCGCGCGAATGACCTTGATGCTGCATACGTACCCACAACTTATTCATTTCAGAAAAGTTTTGTAAAATAAAGTTGATATTATCAGAAGCACTGTAACGTAAGTTTTCTGAAATTCCAGATTGTGGCTGATTAATCGAAGTGGTTTCGCTAGTATGAAAATGATCACCTGAAACCTGCAAGTTGATTGAACTTATAAAAATAAACTTTGTAAACCTCGACGTCCGGAAGGAGTTCGGGTCGAATAGAGTGGAGAAGATAACTACGAAGAAAAAGGCCCCTGATTGGGTGTTGAACGCCTTGGCACATTTCCACAAGATCTTTGGGAATCTCTTGTTTGGGTAATTCGCCTGTTTTAATGTGAACGACGCCAAC